ATGTCAAGGTTGGACCTTTGAACATCGTCTTTGCCATTCCCTGGGTGGGGCCGGGTGGGGGTCGCAGTGCTCTATTTTGTCTACAAAATGGCTTTGGGACCACTTCTCCAGCCTACAAAATGGTAGGGCCATAGAAAGTGGGCACTTCATGGCGTACAAAATGGTGGTGCCTGTCAACTGTCATCTTTGAACGGCAATTTCAAAGCGCAATCAACTATATAATATTACCCTGGAACTAGACGCGAAATCAAATAATACCACTATCACTCTCAATCTTTCAATGCTCAAAGTGATGGTATGTTGAAACACGAAAAGTAGGATGATAATAATAGCCCCGTCAAAAATGTCACACGCAAACGCAGAAACCATCACTGGACGCTCTGGTTCGAAATCACAGGTGGGGCCGCCAAAAAAAAAAACGTTCTGGCCCCAACAGGTGTCCCACAGGTGGCACAGTGTGAAGTAGCAATGTGGCATCCAGAAAGTCATTAGTTGTTTTCCGGGCAATGGAAGGACCTAGATACCAAACCTTCAAGGCTCACTTCTTTTCCATCCGACGCAAAACTTCTCGGCTGGCACGCGTTCTGGCTCACAAGCTAGAAACTACTCAGTCAACATCCTGGGCCACATCCTCAACGGGGGCTTCCTCCTCGCCACCTTCAAACGAGAGACCATCAGCAGCCTCACCGTCTGCAACCCCGCCGTCAGCCCCAGCAGCTGCACCAGGAGCTGCTGCTGCGTCTGCCATTCGGCCGGCACGAATCTTCTCCAAGGCTGCCTCCTTCAAAGAAGCCTCAGAGCCGGAGACTGGAATGAAAATGTGCTACTTTGGGCTACAATGTTCAAACCATAGAGCGAAGAGCGAACATTGATCAAAATTTGAGAGCTGAGAGCGAGGCCGCCATGACTTTCCCATCTTCCTTGGACATGCCTTTCTTGAGGTGATCAACCATCAAGTCCTTGGAACCAAAACTCGTTCAATCAATCCTTGCAAACAATTTGATTTGTCTCAAGTAAAACAATCTGCAAATTACTGTGCTGATTTCATCTGGGTTTGAAACTACGATTTCCATGAGCTTCTCATCCGGGAGCTCGTCATGCTTATGAACCTGCGCTGCAGATGCTATCTGCTATCATTCCTCTCGCCGGAATTTTCAAAAGAGGCCCTTCCCACACTGCAGCACTGACTCTGTTCCGGCCTGAACGTACTCCCTGCCGTTCACAGAGATTGCCCAAATTCCCTTCTTGGTGTAGGGGTACTTTTTGACCTTGAGCTCGCCCGACGGACTTGGCAAGTTGGAAGCTGGCCTCTTGGCTGGCTGGGCTGACCCTGCAGACGACGCTGGACGTTTCAATGCCTTCTTGGGGGCACTCTTTGTCTTAGCTTTCAGCTTCGAACCCTCCTCATCAGAAGCCTCACTAGGACCAGGAGACTCAGCAGGAGGATCAGCAGGAGGATCAGCAGCGGGAGGCTCACTGTCATCAGGAACCTTGGCAGTCTTCTTCTGTTTTTTGGCCGCCGTCTTGGTAGTAGCCGTCTTAGTCTTGGCAGCAGCCCCCTTGCCTTTGGCAGGTGGCTTTTTCGGAGCAGCCGCCTTGGGTTCAACTTTGGTCACAGGTGGTGCAGCCTCCGCATCCGATAAAGTTTCAACAGGTTCCAGGGCCGACATCCCAAGAGCGACACCGGGCCAAGCAGCATAAGAAGCTAAAATCTTGCGATACATTGTGTCTAGTATGCGTGACACACGCAAAATCATACAATGTTCAATGACATGTGACATTGATGTGAATTCGACGTCTATCAAGCTACAATTTAAGCGCACATTGCACGCCACCACTACGGTGCAAAACGACTTGCACCAGCGGCACTTTTCCATTACATCCCCTGGACTGCCAAAGTTTGAGCCATTGGCCGGTTCATATGCCCACATGCGTTGACCTCACCTACACAAGCTTTACGCACGAATGCGCTTCAAGGGCTAGCTTTCCCACTAACCAGAACTTGGGCTTGATTGGCTTCACCAGCGTGTGATCTGTTGATACCTCGGCGGCGCGTCTGCAAAGTCTGGTCTAATAAATGTCAAATTGTGGGGAATTATTGTTGCGAAATTGTTGGCAAGCACATGATTTAGCCTGCATAACATCGCAAAATAATGATTTAAAGCCGGTTTCAAAATTAAACCTGTTGCGTCCACAGTACTTCCCATGCCAACTGGGCCTGCGTCGTTGGGAGCTTCCCAAAATTTCCAGCAAAGATCAGGCCAAACAAGGTGGGGCGGACAGCCAAGCGGTCCACCGAATCTGCCAAGGGCTTGTGCTCATACACGTTGGTCCGCCCATTCACTTGAACATCATAACGAAAAGGCAACGGCTCATTCTCCTCGAGGGGATGGCCGCCAGCCAGCCAGCCCACACCCGAGAATGATAGCTACACTTCATGTACGAAGGCCCCTTCTAATACATGCAATGTTATATTAACTAAGCATGATTCAATCAAGTCCTGGACGCGCTGCGTCAAACTGTGATCCACGAGGGTCATCTCAGTCAGCCCTTGCCGCTGCGCCGCTTGGCACGCCATCTCAGAGATACATGTCGGCGACTTGCCAGACTCTGCGACTTGGATGACGACATCCGTGTCCTTGTTCAAAATCCATGGGATGTACTTGTCGCCCTCACTGCGAGCCGTTCCTCCAAAGCAAAACATCATCGTGCAAAACATTGGAACTGGGTTGCGGTCATGCTGGACAATGGTCAATGACTGAAATTAAATATAACAATATATCGCCCAGCCTGCCGCTTTGGCAACATAAGCTCCCATACCGAAGCCAAACAATTCGCAAGCATCCAGCTCGATCAACTCGTCGGTGTCATTGAGAAGCCAGAGTTCATAAGTGTCCGTGGCCACAATCCCGACCTTGTCGATGCCAACAATGGTGCTCTGGCCAATGACCCTGGCAGCCACCATCATTATTGATTCAAAGAAAACTAGTTGGATGCAGGGTGGCCTTGACAAGACAGCCTGCTGCTACTTTGGATCAATGAATCATTTTCAAAGACAAGGTGCACTTTGTCAGCGCTGAAAGCGTCTTCGGACAACACCGTTGCTGGCTCAATGACTTTCTGCAAGTTCTTGGGCTGGTCAGCGGCGGTGAAGGCAGGCGAGCAGCGCGTGCGTCTGGGGGTTGAACGTTCACCTCTTGAAGGTGTTGGAGTTGGAGGCTGAGACTCTGAACAGTTGCCACGCATTGTCAAGGAATGATCCTCATTCCAAACCTGCAGTGCTTTGGTGAACTTGGCGCTGCAATGCCCCAGCGAGGCCAGGATGGAATCCGGAAGCCTTGGCACCGCAGCTCAAATGTGACAGCGAAGGTTTGCAAAGGAACCTCTTTGTGACATACTTACCATCTCAACCACTGACTTTTTCTTATTTCTTGACTGCATTTGAAAAACTTCAAGATGTTCTTCTCGGAATCTACTGCCAAGACTTCCAGCTGCGGCTTCACTTCTTGGAACTGCTCTCCCGGACGGGATTGCGGGCCGGCTTCGGCTGACTTGTCCCACCATTCCTGAAACTCTTCTCCACAATGCAGGGCGCAACATGGCAATGGCAAAACTTTGATAAATAATGTCTGAAATTCCAAGTGTCGTGTGGAAATCAAATGACTAAGCTTCTGACTGAGTACATGATGCCGCTCATGCTGTTTGCTGCAGCTTTCATATCAGTAGCCAGTCCCCAATCAGAATCCTCATCATAGTAGCAAGTATAGCGCCAGTCATGGCCACGGCCAGACTCTTTGCAAGCCTTCTGCAACTCCCACACAGCGCGGCCCCACTCGTTGAACCTGCAACAACACCGATGGCAAATGAAACGCTCAATGCTGCTCGAAACTGACTACAGAAAGCTGGGGGCTATCAGCGTGCTAGTTTCTGCATCCTAATTTCAAACTTCCTGTGTGGGCAAGTCACTTGTTCGGGGTCAAATCGGTGACAAACACCCGTGAATCAGGCGGGATGTCCAGACCATCAATGAGCTTGAGCAAAATCTCTTTGGTTCCAATGACGCCGCGCTGCTGCACCTGGGACCCAGCAGTATTTACTGCAATTAAGGACATACTGCTTGACACAACATTACAGGAAACCAAGGATGAACGTCCCTTCAAGGCAACAACTCAACTCTGCGCAGTCAAGACTCACGATGCGCAGGGGAACATGGTCTGTCAGCATCGTCCGAAATCAACTCTGTAACTCGAGCCCGGGTGATGGGACCCAGAACTCCCAAAAAGACACGGCTCTTGCTGAAACCAAAGGTCTTGTGCAAGCTACTCACTGCTGCAAAGCCTGGGCTAAGAGAAAACAAACAGGCAGAATGCCCAACAAAAAACAATAACACATTCACAGTCAGACTGCGCTGCGGCGTGACTCTGTTATCTAACTCCAAGAAACATGGTTGGGATCGTTTCCTCTTGTCGCCACCGTGCCCGGTATCACAGAAGGTGAGGCTCACATCAGTGATGTCCAACGAACTCAGTCAGAAAACCACTTCAAGTAGAGGTGGGGATGGACATGTACGAAGCCGCAAGCACTAGTTATACTAGTTTTAGAGTGGTGTCACTCACATAGCGGAACGTATCAGACCAATCCACATGCAGCAAAGAATCGCCATCATCTTGTCTTCAAGAGAACGACGATGGGAAATGACACTCGACTGGTCCGTGCTGGGATGAATCTGCGGGGCTAACACAAAAATCACTGCGTTCGGGTTTGCGCAGCTGATGCTCTTTGCGACGTCCAGGGCATCATCGACCAACACACTGCCTTGATTTATAGACAAATTTTGTCTAAGCAACGACTGCGTTGCTCAAAAGTTCGCTTGCAAAGCTATTTCTTTAACGTGCGCAATGACAAGCGACGGCTTGGCCACACAGTCGCATCCAAAATCATGATGTTCAACCTCAAGCTTGGCAACTTGACAAACTCACTTAAACTTAAATTTGCTGAATTCACAGGCTGCAGGCAAGAAACGAGCTTGGCGTTCCACCACAGTCAGATTGAAATTGCAGCAAGTCTGCATGTGCATCTGATAGGCTTGGCACCCCTTTGTACCTGTGAGTTTTGCCCTGAAGTGCGGCGACTGCCCTGCGCCCCTCTTCGCAGCGCCGTGACAAGTAGGCCATGTCAAGCGCCCCCTGTCAAAAGCCACTCTCTGGCAAAAGCATCCAAAATGGAGCAGGTGTGAATATGACAGGACAAACACTAGCAACAGCAACAATGGGATGCACCAGGTGTGAAGGAGAAAGAAAATCTTAACACCAACAACGGGACTTATCGGGATTTGGCACCTGCCGTGCTGCAAAATCAGCGGCTCGAGCAAGCCACCCCTCCATAAGCGCAAAATCATTGTTCATCTTGAGTTCGGTGCTTTCACTGGTGATCTCGGCCATTCGTTTGGCCAGCCTGAAAAATGATGATTAAAGCATATTAAAGCAGGATTCTTGGGACTCTTGACGCAACTGACCACTAGCAGTCACTAGCAGGCCATCCAAGTTGCTCTTCAGAAGCCTTCACCTTTTCGTCCTCAGCCTGGAAGAGCTTGCCAAGCAACTGCAAACTACAAACCTGGAACAAAGTGATCCTTGAACAAAGTGCATCCTGCCTGTCTCTGAAATTTTGCAATGGCTGTACGAAAGATCCCACACCGCTCCAAATCAACTGGCGGAGCTCCCTCCAGCATTCCCACCAGCTCTGCGTCACCATGTTTCAAATCAAACCTCAGGAGCTGAATGGGTGTTGGATCGAAACAATGCTCGTGAACGAGCAGGCGCCCAAAAAGTGCTGCCAGGGAGCGACCGTTTGATGCGAGGGCGCTCCTTTTCCACAAAGTCAATTGGGAACTCAGATTCGAAGCGGCTCATGCAAGCCAGAAAAATTGCACTGCTGCGTTGGTAGTATTCCTAGGCTGGATCATGAACAGTCATTGGGTATGAGAATCATGGCATGGGTCAAGCTTGTCAAGATTTGGGGTACAAGAAAATCAAGCCTGCAGAATTGCACTTGACATGAAGGAGTTTGACGACCACACTTCGTGTCACCAAGACAAACACTTCAACTTCAGGCCGGCCTTTTAAACATGGTAGCCGACACTGTGCACTTGCTAACAAGGGTCAACATCCTTCAGGGTGAAGGCTTTGCGCATCTTTGGAGCCAAACTTAACCAATCACGAGACATCCGGTCGACCGTCATGTCCAGAATCTGCTCGGTGTTGGCCAGGGTTTCTTGCCAGGCTTGCATTGTGTCTGTGGCACTGCAATAGTTCTGGTTCCAAGCGCCCGCAGCTATGCTCTCATGAGTCAAGAACTTGGCCATTGAATGTTGCCTTAACTAAACAGCAAGTGGCGATCTACAACTTCAAAAGCAATCCAGAACTGCAAAACGCACAGGACAGATGTTTTGTTCAGGTGCTGAACCAACTTCGACAGTCTCAATGCAATCCTGGGAGAAACGTCATTGTAAAGGTGGAGTGCAGCCTGTGACTCCGCCTTGCCAACGACATAGGCTTCTGAGATCTCACACGCTTTTGCCCAGACCTGATGGCGCTTTCGCGCAGCACATTGACCCCACCTTGACATTCAAAAACTTTAGCCTGAACCAAACACCTGGCACCTGGCCTCTTCTCCATCCTTCAAAGAGTTGAACTTGCGAAGTAGGTTCATTTGATGCAAAAGATTAAATGCATTCGGCTTCCTGCGCAACTGGCTCGCCATTGTGGACCCTGCACGGGGGCACGCCGGAATGCACTGGACTTGAATTCTCTATACTGGACGAAAGGGAAAGCAGGGAAAGCAATTCACAGCAGCAACGGCCTCTGTTTGAGCTCACAAGAAGGTGGGGCTCGTCAATCACCACAGTAGCATGAATTGTAGCGAAGGACCTGGGAGACAAAATCTCACCATGACTATCACCAGTCAAATTTCCTGGCAAAACCGGGGCATATAGTAGCGAAACCGGTTGTTGAGCTAAGATTCTCCTTGATGTCTCGTGGCAATGCCTCCGATTCTGTCAAATAACAGATTTGCCGTAGCACTGCCAAATGCATTAATTCACTGTGGCTGAAAAAAAAAATGTCACCTTCACCCTGGGGCACCTGGTGGAACTCCGGGCTCTCAAAGGCAGCCAACAAGATTGTCAGCAGTGAAATCCCTCGACTCCATCCTTTCACAACAAAGACATCTGTCGGTGACAACATGCCATCGCACTCCGGAGCAACATCATTGGCTGAGAGCTTATGCGTCGGGGCAGCAACCGAAGGATCCACAAAAGTGATGGCAATCTTTTCGACTCCCACTGCATTGGCATCCGTCGTGCACCTGGCCGCCAAGCATTGATATTGACTTGCCAAAATTCCTACAAAAAGGCATGTCAAGTAACAGCGTGTTGCCCACAACTTGAAATTTGCAAGGTTTGAATTTGAGCCAGGCACCCGTGGAGCAGCATCAATTGGCACAGTTGCAGGTGGGTGTCCTTGTGACTAACAAGTGCCTTCTCGACTGCAAGTTTGACACCCATGCCCATTTTAGCTTTGAGATGTTGAAAAAATAAGTCAAGACTCCGGCTCTACCAGACCTTTGCATCCCATCTGCGGCTCCCATGGCAAATGCCAGGGCCGCAAGTAGGCGCTGGAATTGGCACACTTCAGAATCGTAGGGGCCGAATACTCCCTGAAAGGCAAGGTAGAGGGAGCGCAAGAAAAAAAACGGAGAATAGCACATGAACAGTGAATCAGAAGACTAAGCGTTGCAATCACAGACTTGAGGCAGCGGCACATTCTTTGTAGGGGGAAAATGCTCGTCGACAAACCGCACAAACTGAAGCAATCCTTCCTTGGAAGTGCGCAGCATGACCACTTTAATAAACTGAATGGCTTCAACACACGTGGGACCACGATGCTGTCCTTCGAATTGAACTTCGCGGCCATGTACTCGCCAATGCTCTGGGACTGTTCCAAGCGATTTGACCTCGTGGAAGTTTCACGTGCAAGACTTGCTTTCCGAGCAACCTGAAGACAAAGGTGGCAACACATGTATACTAGTTCATTTACTGTTCCTTGCTGCAACTTAGACACAGCCATGCCCCAAACATTTTGACATAGGCCAATTCGGCAGGTATCTCCAGTGTGGTTTCTTCCTCCTTGACCTTTTTGAACTTCAAGGGCTTGGTCCCATCAGCGGACAATCTCCGCTTGTTCGACATGGTGTCGGACACGTCGGACACCAACCAAATGGAGAAATGGAGAAATGGCTGCAGGGATACAAAGTCAAGGGTGCAAGGTCGGAAGGTGGAACATCAGTGTGTATAATGCCATGCATCACGAGCACACTGAAACATCAAGCCGGCTGTCTCAAAATTGATCCATTTTGTCAGAGGGCAGCGATGACTTGTTTGCCCTTTGGTGCCAAACTGAATTACAAATTTCGATTTGGTAATGGTCCCGTGTGCGATGACACGTGTGGCACCCAAAGCGCTCACTGAGCTATCCACCGACCCATGGGCAGGAACCTGGCAGCAAAATGAAATAAAGGACATCAGAAAATAAAACCCGTCCCTTTCAAACCGATTTGGCGTTCCATGTTGCAAGGCAACCCTGTGGAAAAAAGGATCAGACTAGCATTGACACCAGTCACCGCAACACTGACCCAAGTTTAGGTTGGATTTCATCAATGAATTTGCGCTGTCAAATGCTGAAATCCAACCAAAAAAGGATGGTTCCAAAAAAACCTTTGTGTTTCCAAATTTTGTGTCAGATCACGGCGGCATCCCACACAAATGGAAAAATTACCTGGTACTTAATCCATGTCGTGAAAGTTGTTGATTTTCATTTTTCCCGATGGCATAGGCCCTAGGTGTCCATGCCGCACCCAATTTTTTTGACTTTTTGATACTTTCTATGCAAAAAATGTCAAAAAGTTGCATGGAAACTTGATTTTTGAATTTTTGTTGAATGATGATTTCAGCCAACACAAAAATCATGGCTCAAAGAACCTTTGTGTTTCCAAATTTTGTGTCAGATCACGACGGCATCCCACACAAATGGAAATTTACCTTGTACTTAATGCATTTCGTGAAATTTGTTGATTTTCATTTTCCCGATGGCATAGGCCCTAGGTGTCCATGCCGCACCCAATTTTTTTTGACTTTTTGATACTTTCTATGCAAAAAGTTGCATGGAAACTTGATTTTTGTTGAATGATGATTTTAGCCGACAAAAAATGATGACTCAAAGAACCTTTGTGTTTCCAAATTTTGTGTCAGATCACGACGGCATCCCACACAAATGGAAAATTACCTGGTACTTAATCCATGTCGTGAAATTTGTTGATTTTCATTTTTCCCGATGGCATAGGCCCTAGGTGTCCATGCCGCACCCAATTTTTTTTGACTTTTTGATACTTTCTATGCAAAAAATGTCAAAAAGTTGCATGGAAACTTGATTTTTGAATTTTTGTTGAATGATGATTTCAGCCAACACAAAAATCATGGCTCAAAGAACCTTTGTGTTTCCAAATTTTGTGTCGGATCACGACGGCATCCCACACAAATGGAAATTTACCTTGTACTTAATGCATGTCGTGAAATTTGTTGATTTTCATTTTTCCCAATGGCATAGGCCCTGGGTGTCCATGCCGCACCCAAATTTTTTGACTTTTTGATACTTTCTATGCAAAAAGTTGCATGGAAACTTGATTTTTGTTGAATGATGATTTTAGCCGACAAAAAATGATGACTCAAAGAACCTTTGTGTTTCCAAATTTTGTGTCAGATCACGACGGCATCCCACACAAATGGAAAATTACCTGGTACTTAATCCATTTAGTGAAATTTGTTGATTTTCATTTTTCCCGATGGCATAGGCCCTAGGTGTCCATGCCGCACCCAATTTTTTTTGACTTTTTGATACTTTCTATGCAAAAAGTTGCCTGGAAACTTGATATTTGTTGAATGATGATTTCAGCCAACACAAAAATCATGGCTCAAAGAACCTCTGTGTTTCCAAATTTTGTGTCAGATCGCGACGGCATCCCACACAAATGGAAATTTACCTTGTACTTAATGCATTTCGTGAAATTTGTTGATTTTCATTTTTCCCAATGGCATAGGCCCTAGGTGTCCATGCCGCACCCAATTGTTTTTGACTTTTTGATACTTTCTATGCAAAAAGTTGCATGGAAACTTGATTTTTGTTGAATGATGATTTCAGCCAGCAAGAAATGATGACTCAAAGAAGCTTTGTGTTTCCAAATGTCGTGTCAGATCACGATGGCATCCGACGCAAGAACCCAAACCAGTTTTGTTTTCAAATTTTGTGTCGGATCACATCAAGATCTGACACACAAATTGTCAACAGCAAGTGCGTTTCTAAATTTTGTGTCGGATCCCATCAACATCCGACACAAAAAAAAACAAAGCCTGTTGTGTTGCCAAATTTTGTGTCGGATCCCATCAACATCCGACACAAAAAAACAAAGCCGATTGTGTTTCCAAGTTTTGTGTCGGATCCCGTCAACATCCGACACAAAAATCAAAGCCTGTTGTGTTTCCAAATTTGATGTCGGATCCAAATTTTGTGTCGGATCCCATCAGCATCCGACACAAAAAAAGCAAAGCCGGTGGTGTTTCCACGTTTTGAATCGAATCCCATCAGCCTCTGACACAAAAATGAAAGTTACCAAGCTTTAAATGCCGACTCAAAAACCTATGTGTTTCCACATTTTGTGTCGGATCCCATCAGGATCCGACACAAAACGAAAATTACCTTGTAACGTGCATCCCGCGAACATTTGGTGGTGACCATGTTTTCCTGGAGGCACTGGACAAGTCAGCTATACAAAAGCTGCAGCGTGGGGAAACAAATCTATCACAAATACCATCCGGGCAAACTCAAGAGTTTTAGAGTCTGATCCCAATAGGATTCATCGCATTTACAGCCGGATTTGGCAGCAACTTGCTCAAAATCAAAAATCAGATCAATAAAAAGCACGCTTGGCTGAAAATCCATTTGCTTTAGAGTTGGATCCCAGTAGGATTAGACTCAAACACTGCTACATCTCAAACCAGCGGTTTTGAGTGGGATTTTACCTCCCCGGCTCACGCAAAATGTGTCGATGAGACATGGCTCGGTAGTCGCAAAATGTTTTGTTGTTACACATTCAAGCATGGCTTCGTTCTTTAAAAATATGAATCTGCATTGCTGACATCAAATCAAGTTGCGGTAGCACAGGAATCAAAGGCTTCCTTCACAATTTCAAAAGCTTTGGGCCATGGAAGCCCTTCAGACCACAGCTTTGCTGCAGCTTTGAACATGTGGTACTTCTCAGTTTTGGACTTGTATCTCGCAAGGTTTGCCCTGGGCATCCTTTCATGGACCATATCCATCCTGTTGAGCGCCTCACAGCCGTCAACCGTGCAAAATTAAAAGAATGCAACCAGCCAAGCGCAATAGAAACGAATTCCAAATGAATTTTGCCATTGATTTTTCATATAGGCTTGCACTCAATGCCAAGGCACCGGTTGCAAGTCAACAGCCGGGCGAACACCACCTCCATCAAAACCATGCCCCACTGCTGGGCCAGGTGATGGCAAGATCCTGCATGGCGCAGAACATGTTGGATGGGAAGGACAGAGTGGAAGTAGACTGGGACATTCACCGACAAAAATTTCCAACAAACAACATGCCTTGGCTTGAACTACCCGGCAATAAAATGTTTGA